GGCGTTTATTTTATGTCTGTGCCCTTGGGATCTGGCACGTTTTCCTTACTAGGTTGTAGACTCATGGCCCTGAGGCACAAAATGGGGTCTGGTTTTCCAAAATGGGGTTGCTGTGGTCTTGTTTCTTTCAAAGACTCATGCGCCAAACTCATCTTTCCTAATGTGAAAGTTCACTGTCTTTGTACTCAGTTTTCCTGTATAGATGAATTTTTTTGTGCCTTTTGGCAGACGTTCTCCTAAGCAGTGCTCAGAAGGCCTGGGAGCCAACTGGGCCTCGAATTGTTGCTCAGATGAAGGTAAGGCATTTGGTGGCAGAGTCCTGAATCTGGAGTTTCTGGGCCCTTGTCAGTAAATGCAGATGTGAGGTTTGGCTTATAGAGAATGGGGACAGCTGTTAGACCTCAGGCTTTGTACCCTGTGACTTTTTATACTTTGTTCTGGCTATTCTCTAAGAACAGGTGTATCTTAGATTTAGTTCAGTATTTTTGACTTCAGGTGAAAGGATGAACAATCAGAGGTTTTCAGAATATAGTCCTAGAAACGTGTTAGGACTGAAATTCTAATTGTTTCGTTTGGGGGTCATACCTGATGGGGACATTGATGCTGGGAAATGTGTCTTTTGTTTGTTTGTTTGTTTGTTTTTTTCCTTTTTGGGTCACACCTGGTGATGTTCAGATATTACTCCTGGCTCTGCACTCAGGAATTACTCCTGGCGGTGCTTGAGGGGACCATATGGGATGCTGGGGATAGAACCTGAGTCGCCATATGTGAGGCAAACGCCCTACTCACTGTACTATCTCTCTTCTCTGATGCTGGGAAATGTATACTGGTGGTGGTGGGGAATGAGTGTTGGAACACTGTATGACTGAAACCTAGTCATGAACATCTTTGTAAAGGTCTATCTCAGAGTGATTCAATAAAAAAAATCTTGGGAAAAATTTTATTGTTATTGAGTTGGAAGAATTATTTATGTATGGATATCAACCCCATGCTATATAAATAAATATATATAAATATATACACAAATATATATACACATGTAGTGCTTGTATTTTCTTCTATTTAATATGATATTCATTTCTTCTATTTAATACTGATGTTGATCAGTAACCAAGAGGTTACTTCTAGCTTTGACTCAGGATCACTACTGATAGGTTCGGGGGGGGGGACTATATGGGATGCTGGAGATTGAACTCAGGTCAGCAGCATGCAAGGCAAAAGCACTCCCTGGTGTACCAGCTCTCTGACCAATAGAACTAAGATTTTGCATCACCAAGCCCCATCGGATTGAAGCCTGGTGCTTGAATCTGGCTACCACTGGTCCTCACTAGTCCTCCAAGAGATTTCTGGAGAATGGTGAATGTTCAAGAACAATGGGTTTAGACACTGGAGTGATCATACAGCAGGTAGGACATTTGCCTTGCACAGGGCCAATCTGGGTTTGGTCCCTAGCATCTCATATGGCCCCCCTAAACCCACCAGGAGTGATCTCTGAACATGGAACCAGCAGTCAGCTCAGAGCATTGTTGGTATGACCCAAAGCCAAAAACACCACACCCCCGCGCCCCCCCCCCCCCCACACACATACACACACAGGCTCTAATTCTTGCTTTCCGGTAATGGGAACCCGGGGCAGCTGTCAGGATGGGCAGGCTGAATGGGTTAGTAGGGAATGGCTGAGCAATTCAGGCTCAGCCTTTGAGAGTCTGGCACGACTAGCTCACAGAGAAGTAGGTGGAACGAAGAGCCCATGTTCTAGGTTGGGGGCTGACAAACTTTATCTGTGAGATGTCCCCTGGGATGGAACTTGTAGGTCAGATCTGGTGGCTCAAGTCAGCATGTGTGTTAGGCAGAAACTGCCGTGAACAATGTGTAAACATACGTGACTCGTGTTCCAGCAAAACTGTGATCTACAAAAACAGGGGTAGACTGGATTGTGTCCTAGAATGGAAAACCTGTCTTCTGCCAGGATGCTGTACTTGGATATTTTTTATTTTTTTTGGGGGGGGTGGGGCACACCTGGTGGTGTTCAGGGACTACTCCTAGTGGGCTCTGGAAACCAGAGGGGTGCTGGGGGATCAAACCTGAATCTGCTGCATGCAAGGCAAGCCCCCTACCTGTTCTACAATCACTCAGGCTCCTCAAGGCTGGGTTTAAAGCAGGAGAATCTAGTTTTTGCTTTTTAAATTTAAATATTATTTGGGGGCGGGGCGGTGTGCATGGTTTGGGTCGCATATAAAGATGCTTGGGGCTGACTCCTGGATCTGTGCTCACTAGTGATTATCGATCACTCCTGACAGTGCTTGAGGGTGGGACCATATGTGGTGCTGGACATAGAACCTAGATCTCCTGCAAACAAGGCGAGTACTTGAATCCCTGTCCTATCCCCCTCAGAAACTGTCTTCTTGTTTTTCTTCCTCTTCTGTCTCTTCCTCTTCCGCCTCTTCCTCCTCTTCCTCCTCCTCCTTTTCTTCCACCTCTTCTTCCTCTGCTTCCTCTT